CGTTGCAGAATTTCAAGCAAACAATTTAATAAATTTTGTTTATTTCACCAGGGCTAGAGTGACTAATGCAAAGCTGGTTTCTTGCACACATATGCCCTCATAGCGTCACTGCAATAGTAGTCATTCCATTTCTGGAACTGAGTATCTTTCACTGGATCGGTTCCTTCGTGATCACTGTAGATCTGCAAATATGATATCGATTTTTCAATTGTAATATGTTTTACGGAAACCCAGCAATCCCCAATTTCCATTTTTAGGACTTCGGCTTCTGTGTTAAGTTTAGTAATAATTGCCTTCCTGCCAACGAGGTGCCAGGTAGAAAACCTTGTTTATTGGCCCGAAATTTTGACTAGGCCATATCTGTCAAAGGTTCCAGGTAGGAAAGCATAAACGATCCGACCTCTCGACCAGGTTTTCCGCTCCAGAGGTACAGCATGCCATCGCAAGAGCGTAATAGCGCCACTCGGTCTCTAGCTGACATGGAATGGCGCTAATCCGCTTTTGCCGTGGTAGACTTGGTCTTTATGGTGGACAACCTGGCCGAGAGGTCGGCTCGTTGATATGCCCTACCTGAAACCCTGCTTCCCTTCCTAAAAGCCTTTGACGGATATGGCCCAGTTTATACCCTTATCTTTTCAAGCCCCTTCCGAAGCTTCGCAGCATCAGATTGTTCATTTCGAGTATCGTAGTTGCAAGGGGAACCCTAATTAATAGCTTCGCTCACCGAGGAGGCAAATGGCGCCCCTCACCACATGTATGGACCGCGTTCGAATTCTGGATCAAACTTCTCTTAAGCTGTCAAAGTCTTCCTTCAACTGGGTCACCTAATTGATGCCACGTTCGCTTGCAAAGCTAAAAACGTTGATTGTCACAATGGCTATCCTCCACCTGCCCTCATAAAGGACAAATCGCATTCGAATGTTCCTGGACCCTGAAGGGAGTGAGGAAGCGTAGCGCATTCCAGAAAATTTATGTCGTTGAACCTTCAACCACCTTGTCTTTCGGCTTACTGTCCAATTTTCACGGCATCTTCAAAATACTCAGTCGAAAATGTATGTCCGCGCCACGAATTTTGACTCCTATCGGGTATTGTAGAGGATTGAATGTTGTTTAGGATTGAATGTTGCATGGCAGTTATTATCGGTGCATAAACAATGGATCATTCAGTTGGCTTGGTACTTAGAACCATGTTCGACTTTTAAAAATAATAATAATCTAATTTATTCCTACAACTTGGTTATATCTCTTCATATTCTCGAGTATGTTTAGAAATACTTCATGAAGTCAGGGCCATGTCTAGAACGTTGTCTCCTCCCCGTCACCTCTCATAGACGTTATAGAAATCGAATGTCAGGCTATGAATGCTGTTCAAAATGTTAGCCTTCGTACATGCTGTAGAAAAGGGCACATTGTCAAAAAGGGTATCACTGTTGAGCTCTGCTTTTACTGACCTGAACACAGTGTTCATTACCATCGGCGTTATTCGGTTCACCTACAGCCCAATTCGAGTAGTCGAAGCTTGTCCCATCTGTCCATGCCCACTGCGTACTCAGTGGATAACCAGCCTGCCATAGGCCAATCCATGCCAAAGAGTTCGGATTCTTGTAGGCTTCTCCTGTTTTCGCCATATCTGCAAAGAGTGAATAGACCACTGTCAGTCATCTCATTCTTGTGAGCCTCGAGTTAGACTTAGGAAGAGGCAGGCAGGACGAGCATGCGGTCAGCGTTATCCAACGCGCTGTCGAGAGGACGATGCTAGGAGTAACCCTATACACGCAAGTGCAGAGGGGAATCCGGAGTGCCGAACTACGCCAACGATCGAAGATCAGGGACGCTGCCGTTTTCGCCAAGGAATCGAAGATAAGGTGGGCCGGACACGTCATGCGATTTTGCGATGACCGTTGGACCAGAGCGGTTACCGACTGGATCCCTCGGGACGTCAAACGAACACCTGGACGACCGCCGGCCCGATGGTCAGACTTCTTCACGAAAGCTCTGAACGAAAGGAATGAAGGACATCGTGTCCCTCGAGCGAGGAGGGTCCACTGGACAACTCTTGCACGCGACAGGGACGAATGGAGACGTTGCTGGCGCCCGCTCGAGCAATTCGATGATCAACGGGACGACAGGTGATACAGGTGATTTCAATGGGAACAAAAACTTCTCATTCTCAGTCTATTTTGGCATTCTCACTACTTAACTTAAAAGGATATCTTTACAGTATGACTGCTATTGTACACCAAATGAAATTTTGCTTTATGAAAGTGAGTAGTCAAAAGATAAGCAACCTTGAAAGCTCTAATCTCTTTTTGAAATACTTTTACGCCAACTACTTTTTCCAGAGGTTTCTGATAGAAAATCAACGGAAAAAAATTTCTCTACAAGTTTTGCATTTTGAAAGTAAAAGGCACTGCTTTGGATCAGTTAGTGTGGTTCTTGCACACAAATGCGAACGCATTGGTGCGAAATGGGGCTGCAGTAGAGAAAAAGGAAAAAGATTTTGTCAAAAACTGTCAGGTTGAGGCTTCCTCACCTTCAGTAGATACTCGTGCGGGCTAAGGCAGGCGAGATGACTATAGCGCAGAGAGAGATGTAATAAGCAAGAGAGCACTAACGAGATGAAGAGCGCTAGACATCACAGCCCTTGATAAGAAGAAAAAACATCTGCTGAGCTTCAGCAACATAACTCTGCCAAGGGTCATAAGAGAACCCTGTTCGTTATATCCGAGCGACACCAGCTTCGGTGAATATGCCTCTAGGAGACTATACCTGCAAACCGAAGAGAACGCGTTCAACTCACGACCTCTGCCTGGGTTGTGCCTTCAAACATTGCCTTCACTACTGTTGACCCTTTCGTTCCAAAATCTGAGTTTTGAGTATCAATAGCGCCACACCAAGCATGAATAGAAGGTGAGCTTATCTCCAGTTTGGACTTGCCACAGCTTGGGGAACTTTCGTTAAACTTTGAGCATATTGCCTATCGGTTAATAGTGAAGCTTCCTACCGGCAGTGAAAGAAGAAAAACCAGCGTGAATATGATGTCGTGAATAGCGGTGAATAGGAAAAAATATATTGTACGACTTTATTTTTGTCAGCGGACAACGGTAATAATGTGATGAAAAGATCAAACATTGCCGAGCAGTAGATTTCAATAAAGAAAAACACCGAAATCAAATAAAGACAATGAAAAGGCAATTAGTTCGGGTCCATAGAGGTTTTTCAAAAACTGACATCTAATAATGGATGAATTGACAACTGCTTTGACGTCTGAACGTAATTGGTAGTTATGTACAGACACACCGTAACAACATGCTTTTTTGCTATAATCGGCGATATGAGTCTCAAATTTGCGACAAAAACAGCGAAACACTGGAATTTTCGAATACGTAAGATTACAATGAATCATGAAATCCCTTCAAGATAGTCTGTGAATATTTTCTTTGCCTCAAAATATATTCGCCTAGCTGTTGGAAACATTCGAGCCACATTTCGTAAAGGGTCAGAGGTTATATAATCATGCAAGATACTGCAACCACACCTTATCAAACCCATCACTTTCCAGTTGTCCTGAACCCGTTACCATTGTCGGCCTCATCGCGGGGTTAGGGATCGGATTATTAGGGGTAGGTAATACCTAGCATCTGTATCATCCATATCAAATCTGATGCTGAGTTTCATGTATGCCCAAGTGTTCAGAGTGATTTTCCCTAACACCACCAACCCCCACATTACTGCTCAGCCATCGGCCATGTTCGGTAGGGTGCTTTAGAAATTGTTATTGTTTATGGCTACTGTGTTACTATTAGTTTGCCACACTATCACTGTATATCAGTTCATGTGTTGCCCACTTTTTTCCTCTTTTTGACTGCATTGCCGGCTAACTTCTGAAACCCATGATAAAGGTTGACGACGAGACAGCTCTCGTGGAGGGCGCAGCCTTCTTCAATCACAAAGCGATTTTTCTCGGATCTTATTGAAGAGGACCACGGGCAAATAGAGGCGAGTACAACAACAAACACAAAGTATAACACATAGTAATAGGTAGAGGGAAACCGCTAAATTTTGGACCTGCGGTCTTCTTAAATAACAAGGAAACCGAAGTGTCCTCAGCCATGCAAACTTCTTTAAAAGCTAGCTTCAAGTGCCTGGAGCCGGACCACCGCTTCCGAAAAGGTGATTCCAATTGCTCGGCACAGAGGTAGATATTACTAGATAGTGCTGTGCCATGTGGACCTCGGCAACGTTGGCGTGGACCTACTACGATGGTATCCGGAGTTCTCATTCACGCCGTGAGAACTTGCAGTGTTGGCGGCCCACTGCCCTTCTGCGCTGTTTTCACTCCATTGCCGGCGCCCTCCTCTCCCCCACTTTTTTAAAATTATACACTAGGCACACCACAACTATTTTTGACACTTGTCGATGTCCATGAGTTCCTGATTCCTTATCTCTCGGTGCTTGAGTTCTAACTTTATGAGCACCGCTTGTTGTAGCGGTGAACTGAATTATATATAAATAATAAAAATCCAATCTATGTGTGTTTCGAGACTTCTGCAAAGCGATTTGTAGAATTTCAAGCATAACAATTTAACAAATTTTGTTTATTTCACCAGGGCTAAGAGTGACTAATGCAAAGCTGGTTTCTTGCACACATATGCCCTCATAGCGTCACTGCAATAGTAGTCATTCCATTTCTGGAACTGAGTATCTTTCACTGGATCGGTCCTTCCTGATCACTGTAGATCTGCAAATATGAAGTCGATTTTTCGATTTTAATACATAGTGTCTTTTGTAAGGATGTCCCAGTAATCTCCAAATCTTCTCCTTCGCAGAACTTTTGCTTCATTGTTAGTTTAGTGATTGCCTCCTGCCAACGACGTTTTCAGGTAGAAAACCTTATTATATTTTGGACAGTAGTTTTGAACCAGGTTTTCCGCTCCAGAGGCACAGCATGCCATTGCAGGAGCGGAATAACGCCACTCTGTCACGTAAACTAAAATGGAGCAGCGCTAATCCACTTTTGCCGTGGTAGACTTTGTCATGAAGGTGGATGACAATAGCCGAGAGGTCGGGTCAGTGCTTCGGGCGTGGTTTGCTACGCTGGGAGCAAATGTTGACGATAATTGGCCCAGTTTTACACTCTTTACACTCTTTGCAATGGACGGGGTTCAAATCCCTGGATCAAATTTCCCCTCAACTTTACAAAAGTCTTCTGTTCAACTGAGGTCAACCTAGATGGTGCCACGTTCGCTTGCGAAGCCAAAAAACGTTGACTTTCAAATTGTGGATAAGTCTCTGGGCAAACTTTATGGAGGACAAATCGCACTCGAATGCCGCCCCTGGACTCTCAAGGGAGTTATGAAGCGTAGCGCACATCAAAGAGAGAGTTTATGTCTTTAGACCTTAAACTACGCACCTTGATCGTTCGGTCCTGCTCTCTAGTTTTCACGCATCTTCGAGATACTCAGTCGAAAATGTTTATCGGCACTACGAATTCCGACTCAATTCGGTATTTTGGGGGGATTGAATGTTGTTCGGCGTAGCACTCGTTATCACTGCACAAACAGTGGATCATTCACTTGGCTAGGGCTCACCTAGTTAGAGCCATGTTTAGACTTTCAAAAAATATTAATAAATCTAATTTATTCCGATTTTGGTTATATCTCTTCATTTTCTCGGTGTTTTTAAAAATACTTCAAGAAGTCAGGGCTGTGTCTAAAATATCCTCTCCGTCCCCTCACATAGACATCACAGAGATCGAAAGGCCAGGCTATGAGATCGTTTAAAGGACGAATTCACGATGAAAAAGCAACCCATTTCAAATTAACCTAGGGATGGTGAGTGGTACACGAAAGAAGGAAGAACCATGAGAAACGGCCCAGAACCCGAGAAATGGGACCCCTTCCTTGCCCGTTGATTCGAGCATTGATGCGACTCTCATCGCTGTGCCCTCTTCAACACTACGCTCTCTCAGCTATCTAATCACTCGCCACGTATTGAACTACGGCGAGTGATCAGATGATCGGTGGGCGGAGATCGCCGGACCCGCCAGCTTTGAGGCATGATAGGTCGCCGAGGTCAAATTTTTCCATGCGAATTGCGCGTCAGTTCGCACCCTCAGGAGGTCCGTGGGTCCCTCAACTAGGTCAGTTTCCCTTTCTTCGACCTTCATTCTAATCGTGAATTCCTCCTTTAAAATGCTAGCCTTCACACATATTGCCGTAGAAAACGGCACATTGTTAATAAGAGCACCCTTGTTGAGCTCTGCTTTTACTGACCTGAACACAGTGTTCATTACCATCGGCGTTATTCGGTTCACCTACAGCCCAATTCCGTGTAGTCGAAGCTTTGTCCCATGCTGTCCCCACGCCCACTGCGATAATTCAGAGGATAACCAGCCTGCCATAGACCAATCCATGTCAAGGAGTTCGGGTTCTTGTAGGCTTCTCCTGTTTTCGCCATATCTGCAAAGAGTGAATAGGTCAGTGTCATCAGTCTCATTCTTGTGAGCCTCGAGTTAGACTTAGGAAGAGGAACGCAGAAAATCTCGGAGTAGGTCATCAGTTTTTTTAAAACCCTTTATAGATCTTTCAAAGTTTGATAGCCACACCATTAAACTGG